GGGAGGGTATGGAAAGGGAAAGAGAAGGGGTGACTTTAGAGTGAAGAAGCGCTGTCTCAGCTGGTGGATCAAGTCAACATCCACGGTGGTGTCGCATTATGAGCATACAACCTTGATATGGTGAGATGACAATGGCATCTGCCCTCTTTGGTCTTGTTACCTGGAAAGAAGGTTCTAGCGCTTGGTGCTCCACTAAAACCCAGGAGACGGAGGTAGGTGAAGGAAAATAGGCTTACTCAAAGCTGGCTTTGAGGAAGACAGAGGAGACCATTCCTGTCTCAGATTCCCATCTCTGGGGAGGTCGGGTGTGAACACCTTTCATAGAGGAGAGGGGTGCATGGGAGACAAGGCAGGGAACGTACACATGTGGACTTACCTAGGCTGTCCTGGTTAGAACCTTCACTGCCTTAGTTTCCTTGGTACCACCAGGGCCAGGGGTAGCTTCTCAGTTTCCGTCCTCAGAATGCAGAAAAGCAGTTGCCAAAAAGTTGGGGAGCAAAACCATTTTAGTGCTTTTAATTTCAAAGTGGCTTTGTTACAGTCTTTCCTACCAAAGTTAATAATCCCATCATCATTGTGAGAAAATCAGGAGATCCCTTGTTAAGGGAGATTCTAGAAAATGTCCAACCAATAGGCCTCAAAGCTGTCACGGTCTTCCAAAATAAAGAAAGTGTGGGAAACTGTCAGTCAAGAGGAGCCTGAGGAGACAGATCTTTGGATGTAAGATAGTATTCTGAATGGGGTCCAGGAACACAAAACATTAATGGTAACAAACATACTGATAATGTAAGATCTTTTTTTTTTTTTTTTGGTACCGGGGATAGAACTCAGGCGCATTCAACCACTGAGCCACATCCCCAGCCTTATTTTGTATTTTATTTAGAGACAGGGTCTCACTGAGTTGCTAAGCACCTTGCCATTGCTGAGGCTGGCTTTGAACTTGTGATCCTCCCGTCTCAGCCTCCTGAGCTGCTGGGATTATAGGCGTGCATACTGCGCCTACCTAATGTAAGATCTTGAAAGGGGAAAGTGGGTGAAAGTATACAGGAATTCTTTACTATATTTGCAACTTTTCTAGAAGGCTATTCTAAAATAAAAGGATATTTAAAATAAAAATAGTGTAGACCCCAAATGTATGTTACAACTAACATTTATTGAGTTTAAAATGTATTGACTACAGCACCTATGATATCACATAACTGCCTGCACATTCTTCCAAGGAGAAATTATTGATTAATCAACCCAATTTTTAGGTAATTTATCAAATTTAGATAAAAGCTAATTTACCTAATTTTTCGACGAGGAAACTATCTAAAGGCATACAGGGCCCAGGAACTTTTTGTGAGGTCACAGAGTTCTGACTGAGTACTTACTCTGCTAAGGTAGGTTTGGCCCAAGGCCCTTGCAGATACAAATTAAAACAAGATGTGATTTTGTTTATTTAGTTTGTTATAGAAAATTAGTACATTGACATGAAATGGGATGAGTCTGCCATAACTTTCCTATGTACATATACGAATATACCACAGTGAATGTCTACATCACGTACAACAAAAAGACTGGGATCCTAATTAGAATTAGATATACTCCAAGTTCATATAAATAAGTCAAATTATACCTACTGTCATGTAAAACCAAAAAGAACAAAAATTAAAAATTAAAAAAAACCAGGTATTCCAACAGGTTGAAATTTGAAAATCTTAGCTCTCATTCTAAACAATCTGCAAATATATTTCTTTCCTCCCTGCCTGCTGGCCATGTCTAATACTTCCTCAAAGTAAAACCAGGGCTGAGCCCCATGCTCACTTTCCCTTCTTCACTTCTACTAATATATTTAAACATGACCTTATTTTTAATAGTATAATTGGTTACCCTGTAACATTAAATAAAACTATAAGTAAAGCTCTGTCTTTACCCATCAAGAAAAGGTAATATTTCTTGACTTTCCAGAACCTAAGAGAAGTAATTGGAACTAAATAGTTTCTTTCACATTAGGATGATTTTTATTTTATTTGTGACATCTTTACAGGAATAAACAAAAACAAATGACTGATGATTTGTGTTATGTCATGAAGTACATAGTATCAACAGCACAATATTCTCTGCCAGACATTGTAAAGTGAATGGTGCTTTGCAAGGTGTGCTCAGGGAAGGGGCGAGCGAGGCCAGCCTCAGTAGAGTTGACCCTGGGCCAGGTGAAAGAGGGTCACACAGTCCTGACTGGAGACCGGTGGGCTGAGCAATGGGCGATCTGGAGTAGAGATCCCGGGACTCAGGTTCAGTTCCTGTGCAAGACCTTGCTTGCCGGAAGGCTGGGTTTGAGACTTAAGGGGGGACAGAGCACCAACAACACTGGGCAACTTCACCCAAGGGCCTTTCAAAGTCCTTGGAGAGCTCTCTAAACCCCTAGCAACTATTTCTTAAACTTTCATATTCTTTATTTAGTCCAAACGATACAACATTTAACATTTTCTAAAAAGCAAATTAAATATCAAATGTATGAAGTTTCTCTATCAAAATGATATTTTTTGAATTAGGAAATATTAAAAAGTTAGATATTTTATTATGAAAATTAAGCAATGAGGCCACTTACCTAGTTTTGTTGTTTCTACAAACTGTTAAAATGTTGTATATAGGACATAAAAGTATGCATATTATTTATTAAATTTGCAATTAAACATTGTATTGCAATTAAACATTGTATACATTTATCGGGTACATGTGATTTTGAAACATGTGTTCATTGTGAAATAGCTAAAGCAAACTAATTACCATGCATTAACTCAATACCTAACATTATTTTGTGGTGAGAACACTTAAAATCAATCTGTCAATTAGTCATCTTTCTATCTATCTATCTATCTATCTATCTATCGGGAATCCTAGGACTAAAGAAATTTGAATAGGCCAAATATTAAGTAGTATTTTTGTTAAAGGAAAATAGTTTCTGTCAAACTTTTCAGAAACTATTGTTTAGTATGTGCCTTCAATGAAGAACAGAAATAAAATGTAGAAAAAGAAGATATTCTTATACAGTGAACTTAATCAAGCAAATGTTGATATTTTGGGGATTCTTTCCAGAAACCTTTCACTAAACTTATTGACCATCTGAAATCATTATTTAAAAACCTGTCAGCTAAGTAGAGCAGTTCAAACAACAGGATATTGTACTTATAAGACATTGCTTATACAGTACATAAAATGAGTGTATACTGGTCAAGTCTCCCGGGAGTGTTTCTTCTCACAGAGTGGATTGTTTCCTCTGTAAGCCGGGATAGTCCTTTAACATAGTACTGACTCTTGCTTTCGAACAAAAGACATTCCTTCCCCAAATGGAGGGAATGGAGCAGTCTTAATTGCTCTCCAAATGCAATTTTCCTGGAGAATTTCAAAAAAATTTCATGTTTTTTGACAATTCTAGAATTCCAATTCTAAAAATTTATTCTAAGAAAATTAAGAATCACCAGTGAGAATATTTACTTTCTGCGAGTTTTCAAATATAGCTAAGAAATTATTAATCATGATTATTTTTAGATGACAAGATTTTAGATTGGTCTTGATCATTTTACTTATGCTTATCTGCATTAACAAATCCTTTTCTTTTTCTTTTTTGTGGTGTTGTGGATTGAACCGCCAGGGCCCCGCACACAATAGGCAAATACCCTACCACTGAGCTACACCCTCAGTCCCCTGCACTAACAAATCTTCATACAAGTATGGGTCATTTGTTTAATGAGAAAAATTACACATATAAAATTATAATTACAATAATTATGACACATATCTATATATAGATATATGACGTAACAAAGGTAAAATCAGGTCCGGCATTATTAGACTTGCTAAGCTCTAGAGATGGGCATGCTTTCTATTAGAAATGATAGACTGAAATTGTTTTCTGAGACTGGTCAATAAAATCTATTGAGTTGAAGAACTGCCAGAAAATGTCTGTCAGTGAAAAATCTTTTTAAAATATTTATTTATTTTTTAGTTGTAGTTGGACACAACACCTTTATTTTATTTATTTTTATGTGGTGCTGAGGATCGAACCCAGGGCCTTGCACATGCTAGGTGAGCGCTCTACTGCTGAGCCACAACCCCAGCTCCTATCAGTGAAAAATCTTACCTGAAACTTCTATTGATATGCAACAGAGTTAAACTGCAGCCCCCTGCAGACCCCCTATAATATATGTCAGGTTTCCATTAACCAAGGCCTCTAGATCCTGGGCCTGAGTCCAGACTTTCCCCAGAGGTACAATCCTTTGGTAGATGGATTTTTATTCTTGAAATTCAGAAAAAGCTGGTTTGAATTACATGAGGAATTGTCATCATCTCACTCCAGCCAATCTGAGATTCACTCTATTGCCATGTGTCGGTTTGGCTGATCTTCCACCTGGAAGGTGCTTCCTCCTCACACCACATCCCCTTAAAGTCTACTTCCCACCTATCAGAGAATCTCTGGCTGCTGCCCTTGACCTTTTATATTTTTTTCTGTTTTACGTTCTTTTAGATGCACAATGAGAAATGACAAAAACAAGTTAACAAGTTTAAAATTTTATTTATTAATCCTCTTGTTTCAGTCTGGAGTGTCCATTGCTGCTTCTACTGGATGGCAAGCTTCTCAGGAGCCGGAGGAAGTCTGTAAGCACAGTGGCTCGTGCACAGGAGGGGCTTGGTGTGGGGCTCGGTGTGCTTCCTGCATCGCGGGCTGCAGTGCTAGAACCCTGCAGTGACATAGGTTGACATGAGAGGCTCTGAGAACAAGGGCCCGAATCTCTGAAAGCCGTCTCCTGGGGGGAAGGAGAAGCAGCACATCCACTGAGGGGGCTCAGTGCCTCCGAGCAAGGACCACAGAAGTCCCAGCCGTGCTCCAGGAAGACAGCATTACTGCCGCGGAGCTAAAGGGTGGGTGGGAGAGCAGCAGAAGAGACCCCTCTCCAGGGCTGGGGCTGGGCGTTCCGCACCCAAGTAAGAGCTGGAGGCTGGGTTTCTGAGTGGAGTCAGAACCCCAGGCTGAGGAGGAGCAGCTGTACCTGTTCCTTCGCTGGATCTCCTCAGCACTCCTCCTCTTTGCAGGGGTAGGTCCTGCCACCGCTGAGGCAGCGAGGCTGGCGGCGAGCCCTCCTGACGCGGGCTGAGCTCTGAGCTCCAGGCCTTTGGGACTGGGAAGGACAAACTCCTGAACAGGGAATCCCACAAGGAGCAGAGGAGAGGTCTAGGCAGGGGCTTGGGCATGGGGCAGGGGAACCCTGAGGAGCCTTGGGAGGCTGTGAAGACTGCTGCTTCTCCTGTGGCATTGCTCAGCTACGTGTGGAATCTGGAAGAGAAAGAGTCAGGGTTAGGGCAGGGAACCAGTCAGCTTGCCCGCAACGGAGGAGGAGGAGCAGCACTAACAACCCCTGGAAGTCCACCCCAGGAGGGCCGGGGTGGGGTGAACTTAAACATCCGAGGAGTAAATCCTAATGGAAATTCCTAGGGGACTCCCTCACCCACAACCAAGCTGATAACTTATTCTTTCTTTTAAAAAAGAAAAAAAAAAAGTCAGCCACCTAGTCGAGCTGACCGTCTGCCTTTCCCAGGCCCATGCCCACCACTGCACCATGGTCAGGTGTACAGGAGAGTGTCCGCTCTTTCTTCACCTAGGCTTGACCTGCCCTGAGACCCTGAGCGTACATGTCCCCTGGTTCTCTAGTCCACTGGCCTCTCTGGTTTTCTCCCGGGTTAGATCATTTAGAGTCTTTTGTAGGGACTTACACTTCCCTTCTCCTTCCCCAAACTTGTACCTGCTCATCAACTCCCTGGGAAGAGAATAGGAGAGGTCAAGATGCCTTAGCAGCCCCTGAGTGACGGGCAGCCAGGCGTCTCTCCACCCAGAAATCACCTTGCCCTAGAGGAGGACAAGTGGACAAGCCATCCCAGAAGCCTTGTGGGTGGGCAGAGAAGAGGCTATTCTATATATCCTCCCGTTGAACCTCCAGGCTCCCTATTATTGGAGGGCAGCCATGCAATGCAGGATGATGTATCCGGATGTTTCACAATTCCCAGGCTGGATTCCTCAGCTACACACAGCTGGGATGTGGTTCAAAGGGATTTTCATGTGAGTGAGCGGCCAGATGGCGGGAGCGTTCGGATTGGCCGGGGTGGAAGTCTTACGACATCCCTGGTGGTGATGGGGTGTTGGGTAGGGTCCAAATCCTGCTGAGTTCAGTTTGGGATCCGAGAAGGAAGATCAAGTTCAATACCACCCAGAGCCTAAAGAAGGCCATTTTATTTGTCCCATTGACCATGACTCAGCACTCAAGGCCCCCATGGGACTTGACTGGTTCCCGAGCCAAGTCAAAGTTCCACACCCTCCGAGCTCCCTATACCTCCCTCCCAGCCTCCGTAGTTGCTCTTGGTCATGGTGACCTAGATACATATCTTATCTCCTATATTAAACTGCTCTCGATGACAGAGACCTTGTCTTTATCACTTCTGCATTCCCACATTCTGAGGTTGTCCCTGACTCAAAGAATATGCTCATTAATTCTTGTTGAAGGAAACAGTCTACATGCCATTAGAATAGACTTCGTGTTTCAGAATTTAAAAAAAAAGAAAAAGGAGAAAATAAAGCCCAGGTCATTTTTGTTTTGTAGATCAGATCTTCACCTGTCTATGCACCGTTCTCACCTAAGGCATTTGTGAACACCTTTCCGTGACCTTCACAGAGACACAGGTGGGTGGACCTCACCCTACACAGCAGGCTGAGAGCAGAGAGTAAACCATTTACAACGTCCACTGTCTCTTATATGCAAAGTGGGAGTTGCTGCTGTGACTCTCAAGGGACCCCGTGGAGAAGCCCTTCACAGAGTGAGAAACTTTCTTTCATGTTTCAGGAGAATCTCGTGCTAGTTGTGCTTTAAGTGAGCACGCTCTCTCTCCACCTCCGAATCACAGCTGATGTGCACAGCTCAGCAAGGAGATTCTGATGAGCTCCCTGCCTGGCAGGCAGTCCTAATGCCTGGCACAGCTCTGCATCTAGGAAACCATTGGCCAAGGGAGAAAGGACCAGCAGGTATCAGGGACGTTCTTGTTGTGGGAGGCCTTCAAGGCCTTCAAATTAGATAGCAGACAAAGGTAAGCAGGGTCAGGGGTGGAGGGGATAAGAGCCTAACCAGGGTGGGAAACAGGACCAGGCTGGACAAGAAGCTGCGGTTGGACCCCCAAATCCAGCAGGGCAGGACCACGGGGCTCACCTCCTTCTGGAAAAGCTTTGGTGTGTAGTTTGGATGAAGGGAGAAAAACCCCCCTTGAGCAAAACAGACGGTGGGAGAGTGCTCTAAAGCCTGTGTCATCCCGTTCCAACAGGACCCCAGAGAGAGAGCACCTGATTTGGGGGGACTCAGAGGTTACACCCCTCTTCCTTCCTTCCCTTCCTCCTTATTCCTTTTTTCTCCTTTTCCTCATCTCCACCTCCACAGGTATCAAAAATAACTCCGATTGCTCCTCCAAAGTGCTTCCCAGCGGGCAGTAAGCATTGTAGGAGGCAGTGTGACTTTGATCACAAATACTAGTTGTTACTTTTCCCCACCCAAGACCTGCGTCACGTAAACCCGTGCTCCAGAGACCTCCCATGTCTCAAAAGCACTTCCTTGAGTTTAACCTGTATGGCTCCCACCTCAGGGACGAGGGTTCTTTCTGGGGTTCTCCCCTGGGTGAACTAAGCACCCTGCCTCCTTTACACCGGCTCCAGACCACTGCTCACAATAAATCACCTGCAGAAATCGCTAGGTGCCGTCCTACAATGAATTCTATCACTTATAAGGTGCTGCTGGGAACTGACTTCAGAAGAAGTCTTCTCGAGTTTCCCAAGAGGCGCTGTCTTCCAAATGGACTTGTAAGTCCACCCAGTGATCAGCCAGGATCCCAGAAATGTAATGTTCTCCTTCACGTCTCCCTGTCTTCTTCCTGGTTCAGATTGTAGGATTCCGTCATTTGGTATCTATTAAGCACCTGCTATGGAATGGGTATAAGAGGGAAAAGTAGCCCATGTTACACTCAAAGTTTTCACCTTGAGAGAAAAAAAGACACATTCATAATAAGACACGGCAGGAACTGGCGGATGGGCCAATAGGGAGGCCGGTGAACTCTAGCTGTGGACTGGGAGTGGCACCAGTCAACTCAAATGTATCCAGTCAGAGAGTAAGTGAAGAGTTTCAGCTCCCACTATTGTTAAACCTCACCCTGGAGACAGGACTCTATCCCTGCTCATCCCTCGTCACTATCTGTGATCCTGTGTCTCAGAGCAATAGCACCTTCGGGTCCCATCCTCAAAGGATGCTGCTCAGCTTCCTAACCCTCTGGACTTTGGTCCCTTTTTTTCTGGGACTTCAAATCTTTGGATAATCCTGAAATGATTCCCGAAATACATTTTAAAAACTATCTTTTATCTTGTTTGATTTTTCCATGAATAATTGCCCTGGCAGGATCTTCCAGAACATTCTAGTGTCTTCAGGATGAACCTAAGACCCTTTGGTCAGCATTTAAGACTCTGTATCCTTAGCCCACCTGTCTCTGAGTCTCACTCCTGGCACTTCCTGTCACTGCGTCTCCTCTGATGAAGGGGTGGACTTTCTGTGTGGGTGGACTCCTGTGTGGGGTGGACTCTGTGTGGGGTGGACTCCTGTGTGGGGTGGACTCTGTGTGGGGTGGACTCTGTGTGGGGTGCACTCCCTGTGTGCGGTGGACTCCTGTGTGGGGTGGACTCCTGTGTGGGGTGGACTCCTGTGTGGGGTGGACCCGCTGTGTGGGGTGGACTCCTGTGTGGGGTGGACTCTCTGTGTGGGGTAGACTGTGGGGTGGACTCCTGTGTGGGGTGGACTCCTGTGTGGGGTGGACTCTCTGTGTGGGGTAGACTGTGGGGTGGACTCCTGTGTGGGGTGGACTCACTGTGTGGGGTGGACTCTCTGTGTGGGGTAGACTGTGGGGTGGACTCCTGTGTGGGGTGGACTCCTGTGTGAGGTGGACTCCTGTGTGGGGTGGACCTGCTGTGTGGGGTGGACCCACTGTGTGGGGTGGACTCCTGTGTGGGGTGGACTCTCTGTGTGGGGTAGACTGTGGGGTGGACTCCTGTGTGGGGTGGACTCCTGTGTGGGGTGGACTCCTGTGTGGGGTGGACCCACTGTGTGGGGTGGACTCCTGTGTGGGGTGGACCCGCTGTGTGGGGCGGACTCCTGTGTGGGGTGGACTCTGTGTGGGGTGGACTCCTGTGTGGGGTGGACTCCTGTGTGGGGTGGACTCTGTGTGGGGTGGACTCTGTGTGGGGTGGACTCTGTGTGGGGTGCACTCCCTGTGTGGGGTGGACTCCTGTGTGGGGTGGACCCGCTGTGTGGGGTGGACTCCTGTGTGGGGTGGACTCTCTGTGTGGGGTGGACTGTGGGGTGGACTCCTGTGTGGGGTGGACTCCTGTGTGGGGTGGACTCCTGTGTGGGGTGGACCCGCTGTGTGGGGTGGACTCTGTGTGGGGTGGACTCTGTGTGGGGTGGACTCCTGTGTGGGGTGGACTCCTGTGTGGGGTGGACTCTGTGTGGGGTGGACTCTGTGTGGGGTGCACTCCCTGTGTGGGGTGGATTCCTGTGTGGGGTGGACCCGCTGTGTGGGGTGGACTCCTGTGTGGGGTGGACTCTCTGTGTGGGGTGGACTGTGGGGTGGACTCCTGTGTGGGGTGGACTCACTGTGTGGGGTGGACCCGCCGAGTGGGGCGGACTCCTGTGTGGGGTGGACTCTCTGTGTGGGGTAGACTGTGGGGTGGACTCCTGTGTGGGGTGGACTCCTGTGTGGGGTGGACCCGCTGTGTGGGGTGGACTCTCTGTGTGGGGTGGACTGTGGGGTGGACTCCTGTGTGGGGTGGACTCCTGTGTGAGGTGGACTCCTGTGTGGGGTGGACTCTCTGTGTGGGGTGGACTGTGGGGTGGACTCCTGTGTGGGGTGGACCCGCTGTGTGGGGTGGACTCTGTGTGGGGTGGACTCTGTGTGGGGTGGACTCCTGTGTGGGGTGGACTCCTGTGTGGGGTGGACTCTGTGTGGGGTGGACTCTGTGTGGGGTGCACTCCCTGTGTGGGGTGGATTCCTGTGTGGGGTGGACCCGCTGTGTGGGGTGGACTCCTGTGTGGGGTGGACTCTCTGTGTGGGGTGGACTGTGGGGTGGACTCCTGTGTGGGGTGGACTCACTGTGTGGGGTGGACCCGCCGAGTGGGGCGGACTCCTGTGTGGGGTGGACTCTCTGTGTGGGGTGGACTGTGGGGTGGACTCCTGTGTGGGGTGGACTCCTGTGTGGGGTGGACTCCTGTGTGGGGTGGACCCGCTGTGTGGGGTGGACTCTGTGTGGGGTGGACTCTGTGTGGGGTGCACTCCCTGTGTGGGGTGGATTCCTGTGTGGGGTGGACCCGCTGTGTGGGGTGGACTCCTGTGTGGGGTGGACTCTCTGTGTGGGGTGGACTGTGGGGTGGACTCCTGTGTGGGGTGGACTCACTGTGTGGGGTGGACCCGCCGAGTGGGGCGGACTCCTGTGTGGGGTGGACTCTCTGTGTGGGGTAGACTGTGGGGTGGACTCCTGTGTGGGGTGGACTCCTGTGTGGGGTGGACCCGCTGTGTGGGGTGGACCCACTGTGTGGGGTGGACTCCTGTGTGGGGAACCGGCACTGTCTTCCTCCATATCTGTCTCTCTCCATGTCCCTCCCCCTCCCTTCCATCCTGCTGGGCCTTTGTCTCCCTTTCTCCCTCCCTCCCTCCCTCCATCTCTTCCTTCCTTCTGTTACCAGGCAGACATCCTCTCAAACCTGGAGAAAAATCCTTCTCACTAACCTGTGTTCTGTTCCAGACCAGCCACCCTCCATGCAGACCCCCAGGACCTCAGTGGCTATCGTGAAGCCGAATGAGGAACAGG